TGAGGATGACCCCAACTTCTTCAAGATGGTGGAGGGCTTCTTCCACCACAGGGCCAGCATCATGGAGGACAAGCTGGTGGAGGACCTCAAGATCCAGGAGAGTGAGGGTGCGTGGCATCCTGAGAATCACAAGCCCTGCAACCATGTGCTGAGCCTGTCCTTCCCCATCCGGTGCGACCACAGCTCCTGGGAAGTCATCAGAGGCTACTGGGCCCAGTACAACATGGATCTGTTCTGTTTTTAATAGATTTGAATCCATTTCTTCCCTTGGATACAATGCCTTTTAAAATATATAGATTTATATCTCTATTTCAGGAATGTTTTCTTAAATTATACCTTTAAATATTTTTTGTTTAAATTTTCTGGGCTTTTTCTGGGGGGTAGAGGGAGATACTAACAATACATATCCTTTCTTTTTCTTTGTCTTATGCATATTCTTCTTTGTCTGACTTCCATGTGTAATATCTTCCCTAAAATAAATTGTAACATTTTCAAAAAATCTAATTTTGCTGATTAGTCTCAAGCCTGTCATGCATATTCTTCACTCTTTTCTGTGAATCTCTCTCTCTCTCTCTTGCTTCATCTGTATCTTTTTAATCCCTATTTTTTCTTCTCCTTTTCTTCTCCATTTCTTTCCTCACCTCTGTTAATTTATTCTTTGTCTTTTTAGTTCATTTTTTAACTCTTTCATCTAGGCTTTGCAGTCTTATTTCAAAGAGCTCATTTTTTCATGAATTCATTTGTGTGTGGAGAACATCTTAGTTACAGTTTGACCTGCCTGTGGCAACCGTTTTCAAAGGTCTGATCTTCATCTCCTTCTCTTTGGGTCATTTTTAATTACTGCTTTTCCCTGTGGTATGTTTGCACAGATCCAATAGTGACTGGTGTTGACTGTGACTGTTCACTTCTACATAACGGAATTCATCTTTGCATGAGGGGAGCCCTTCCCCAGTGATTGTTCATTAGGGCTGGGCAGGGGCTGGGGATGAGCCTGAGTAGGAGGCTCCTCCGGTTCTCATCTTTGCCAAGGAACACTGTCACTGCCACTCAGCCATGTGATGATGACTGCTCTGAGATGCAGACGATCTCTCTGGATCTCTGGGAATCCACCACTAGAATGCACTTTTCACTGGAGCGCCTAATTCATCTTCTTTTTTCACTGTGCATCTAGCCCCAGTGTGGATCTGCGTGGCTCCAGGTCTGTGAGCCACCAACAGATCCTACTATATTCAGGCAATGGTGAAACAAACATAACAGGATATGATTCACAGTCCAAAGAGGAAGACATGCATATAAAGAATTATAGCAATTTTTATATTTTTGGCACATTCCCTTTATTGGATATGTGATTTGCAAATATTTTTCCCATTCTGTGGCTGTCCTTTCATTCTCTTAATTCACTGAGGGGGACGTGGGAAATACTCAGTGCCTGTTGGTTCCCTCCCGTCCCTTTGTATGCACAGAATAGGTTACAGGTTAACAACTCTTTCCATGCACATTTTTTAAACTTAATCCTCATAAAAACCAGAAGCACTCCTAATTCAATTATACCCATGGAGTCTGTGGCTCAGATAAATGAGATGATCCAACAGAACCTTCCTTGCTGGAGAAATAGCAGGCGGGGTCCCCACCCAGCCTCCCACCTCCACATCCACTCCCAGCACCCGCGTCCATCCCACCAGGGGCTTCTATGAAGGCCTCTCACCTTTCTACACGTGAGTTCATTGGGAAAGCACTTTTGGGTGTACAATCTCATCTATTCTCACCAAGATGTCCACTGGCAGACGAATGGATAAAGAAGATGTGGCACATATATACAATGGAATATTACTCAGCCATAAAAAGAAAAGAAATTGAGTTATTTGTAGTGAGGTGGATGGACCTAGAGTCTGTCATACAGAGTGAAGTAAGTCAGAGAGAAAAACAAATACCATATGTTAACACATATATATGGAATCTAAAAAAAAAAAAAAATGGTTCTGAAGAACCTAGGGGCAGGACAGGAATAAAGATGCAGACGTAGAGAACGGACTTGAGGACACGGGGAGGGGGAAGGGTAAGCTGGGATGAAGTGAGAGAGTAACATTGACATATATACACTACCAAATGCAAAATAACTAGCTAGTGGGAAGCAGCCACATAGCACAGGGAGATCAGCTCAGTGCTTTGTGACCACCTAGAGGGATGGGATAGGGAGGGTGGGAGGGAGATGCAAGAGGGAGGGGCTATGGGAATATATGTATACGTATAGCTGATTCACTTTGTTATACAGCAGAAAGTAAACACAACACTGTAAAGCAATTATACTCCAATAAAGATGTTAAAAAAATTTTTTTATATGAAAGCTAGATGTTTTAAAATTTACATGGGCAAAGGATCAAGGTTTTCTGTGTGTTTTGTTTCCTCATTAATTAGTGCAAGGTCAACAATGGCCTCTGACAGCTGAACCCAGACAAGCTGTCTCTGCTGGCACACCCTGGCTCCCCGCAGAGTGAAGCAGCATGGCTCAGCCTGGGGAAAACGGCGGGACAGGCTCTAGCCAGACTAACCAAGAGAAATACCATTCATGCTACAGGTGGAAAAGAAAGTTTTCCAGTTGCCACATTTTAAAAAGTAAAGATAAAATTTATTTTATAATATATTTTCTTTATTATATCTAAAACATTGTCACTTTAACATATGTTCAAGTGTAAAAGTTATGGATGAGATATTTTACACTCTTAACTTTCATACTAAGTGTCCGACATCCAGTGAGTATCTTACACTTTTGACACATCTGCATTTGGACTAGCCACACTTCCAGTATCAAGAGCCTCCTGTGGCTAGTGGCTACCTCACTGGACAGCTAGTCAGCAGAGCTCCCTGTGTGCATAGTGAAGAGGGCCCCTTACCTGCCTCTACCTGACCTGAGGGATGCCATAAAGACTTCTTAATTACTGTCGTTATTATAATTATCATTTATGGAACATTCACCATGTGCCAAGGATTTGTGTGTGTCTGTGTATATATAAATACACACACGCTCAGACCCTAACAGAGCCTGATGTATCATGGTCCCACCTTACGAAGGCTCGAAGAAGGTTAAGTAACTTTCCCAAAGGCACGTGGACTATGGAGGCTGGGTCAGCTGACTCCAGAGCCTATGCATTTCCCCATCCACACACTCACATGTATTGCTCTCTGTCTGTGTGTCCTACTCCAGCAGTAGAAAACCACTCATTTCTGTTGTGAGGACACCTCATTCTTCCAGCACCTGGGAGGCAGCTCTAGCTTACGTCCCAGCTGAAGTCCTGTGGCTGTTTCTATGGGGGGTCAGTTTAACAACCCTCAGGGCAGGCACCCACAGAAGTGGAGTCAGAAGGGAAGGCTGCAGTGCGGGCGGAGCCAAGGTCTTCCCTTGGATATTCCCTTGGATAGCATCACAGTGCGTGGCCCCTGTTTGGTTGCCTTGAACACCTGCCATATCTGATTCCATGACACCCTGTGACTGAGGTCCATAAACCCTTGACATAACCCTTTGTGGAATCAGTTAGTCACCTCCTCAGCAAGAGTAACGAGGTGGCCGGAGGCCACATAGCAGGTGAGGCCCACCCCAACTAGAGCGAGCTGCGAGGTTGAAGAGAGAGGGCGACCAGATGGGCTCCCGAGGAAGGAAGGGCTTTCTGTGATACCTGCATGACTTGGAGAGCAAAATCCCGATCATGCCAGAGAACTGGAAACAGAGGGAAGACCAGCTGGGGGAAGCAACACAAACAAACCAGATGAACAAAAATGCTGGTAAATTGTTTCTTAAGGTCTAAGCTCCACAGGCCCTTGGGGCGGTTTGGATGCATCCAGCACGGAAATCCCACCCGGTGCCCGGTGTGATGGACACAAATGAGTTCGACGTGGGCCCTGCACTCCTCGAAACCCGGGAGTGTGAATATCACTCTCCTGCCTATCAGGTCTCCTAACCTCCATGCCAGGCCCTCCCAGTGCTTCCTCAAGATGCTCAAAAGAATGTTTTCATGTACTTGTGAAATTTATGAAATATGAAATATGTATTATCAGTTTCCTTGGACAAGTAAAAAACCTTTAAAAGCTCCTGTATAAGGAATTTCCTTCAAGTTCTGCTTATGGTTATCTCGCCATTGATGAGTTACCCATTCGTCCATGCCTTCACTTATTCATGCCTTCATTCATTCAGAAGAACAAGGGGAAGAAGAGGATGCTCAGTAACATTGGGAAATAACCTCTTTGAGCCAAGTCGGCCTTGCAGAGCTCCTGTGGACCCTCTGAGTTGACGCTTTTAAGCTAAAAAGGTCCTCTTTTGGGGGATTCCCCCTTCCCTCCCTCTGGGGAGTAGTGCTGGCACACACTAACGTTCATTTCAAAGCAAAGAAAGAGTGAGCATGCAGTGAGTGCCGACTGCGTATCAGGCACTAGGTCCCCGTGACTGGAAGAAGAATGGTAATCACTGCTTCACAGAAGACTGACACGAGGTAGCGTGTGTCGAAAGCACTCTGTGAACCACAACCACACGGTGAGCACTAATCTCACACCCCACCTTCCTGCCTCCACGCCCCCAGCCCATCACAAAGTGCTTTGTGGCTCTTGGGTGGTCACGCGCCCAAACTCAGATTAGGCCATGAACTTTTGGGGGGCCTTTTTTTTTTTAAATTACAGATGTGTGTGTTTTTAAAATTTATTTATTTTTGGCTGAGCTGGGTCTTCGTTGCTGCGCTCGGGCTTTCTCTAGCTGCGGTGAGTGGGGGCTACTCTTTGTTGCGGTGCGCGGGCTTCTCATTGTGGTGGCTTCTCTTGTTGCAGAGCACGGGCTCTAGGCACATGGGCTTCAGTAGTTTTGGCACGTGGGCTCAGTAGTTGTGGCACATGGGCTCAGTAGTTGTGGCGCACAGGCTTAGTTGCTCCGTGGCATGTGGGATCTTCCCAGACCAGGGCTTGAACCCGTGTTCCCTGCATTGGGAGGTGGATTCTTAACTACTGTGCCACCAGGGAAGCCCACCAGGGGGGCCTTACACACTCCTTTCCGTCTTCTTTTGGAGTCATATGCACTGTGCCCCGTGGGCCCACTATCAGAAGCTGCAAGTGTCATCAGAGAAAAGTTCATTTTGGGTGGTTAATGTGAGGTATTGGATAGCACCACTGTGTGCCAAGCCACACTGGAGTCTGGGACAGAAGGAAAAACCAGTAGCACTGACCCTGTCTTTGCTTAAAATTTTGATGTTTTGTCCACCACGAATTTTTTGGCATGAATTTTGATTTTTTATTTTGCAGCAGAATATTACTTATCTTGAGGACAGTTTTTGGTACCCGAGGTGAGTGTAGCACCTGGGAGCAGCCCATTCTCCCGTCCTTCACTTCCCTTTGTGCTCACACACAGGCACAGCTCTGAGGCTCCATTCACAACCCCAACATGGAATGTGTCATTCAACTGTCTCTAGAGTCTAAAACCTCACAGCATTTCCTCTCTTCATTCCCAAGGCAAAGCATGCTTGACCTGGAGTGTCAGCTGGTCTGAGATCTTCATAGCAGAAAAGTGAAATATAGGCAAAAGGCAGCAAAGTTCCTGAGGAAAAGTTCAGAATGATTTCTGGTACTTTCCATTGCTCAAGGAAACTACAGGAATACATTCCATCTTACCAAGACCCATTGTGTTAAAGGCGTGTGCTCCTTCACCCCCTGCCCCCTGCCAGCTCATATGTTGAAGCCCTAACCCTCAGTGTGGCTGTTTTTGGAGATGGGCCCTCTCAGGAAGTAACTAAGGTTAAATGCGTTCATAAGGGTGAGGTCCCAACGATGGAATTAGGGTTCTTATAAGAAGAGGAAGAGATACCAGACACACCAGAGATCCCTCTCGCCACCACGTGAGGACACAGTAAGGCGGCTGTCTGCAAGCCAGGAAGGGAGCTCTCACCAGCACCCGACCACGCCATCACCTGCATCTCAGATTTCCAGCCTCCAGAACTGTGGAAAATCAGTGTTTGCCGTTTAAGTCCCCCAGAGTACGGTATTTCATTATGGCAGCCTGAGCTAAGATCCAGCTGCGGATAAGGCATGAGGCCTGGATGGAGGAGGGTGCTCAGCCCTGGGTGAAGCTCCTGTGTTCCATGAGTGGTCCAAGTGCCCAATGAACTCACCTCTGGAAGCAGGATGTGGTACAGTGGGGCTGAGTCACTGCAGAAGATGGTGACTGACTCCAGCAGGGAGGAGAGGGTGAGACCCCCAGTAGGGAGCATCTCAGTGCTCAGGGACACGCTTGAGAAGAGCTGGGTTGGAGGGCTGTAGAGGGTAAAGTGCATGGACACAGCCCTGGTGCTGTGGTCTATCCAACCACTGGCCCTGGGGCCGGTCAGGGCTGCACGTGCAGCAGGCCTGCAAAGTGGTGCAAGTCATAGGGACCCTAGCAGCACCCCGTCCCAGGCTCCACACCCAGACGCCGGATGCAACTCCTGGGCTCACAGAGCTGGACAGATGGCCCTTCTGCGTCTTCCGACCCCTTCAACAGTTCATTGTCCCTCTCTCCTTGCCTGGGACCCCCAGGCAGAGGGAATCTTGCAGAGAGGAGGGCTGCCATTTCCCATAGGTACAACTCAGGGAGAAATACCCCATCTGTCACCACAAGGATTCTAGAATATTCATTTTTCTTTTTTGGCAATGGACTCCATCATTGGAAACAAGCTACCTTTTACCAATCCGTACTTATTAACAATTAAATCATTTCTTTGTTGTTGCTGCTGTTGTTATTAGTATTACTCAGAGGCAGGCATTACTGTAACTGCCACAGAGCTCCCTGTCAGTCTCAGACAATCTGTCACCACCGGTGTTAGCACAATACCAGGGAGGTGGTGGCAGGGGCAGTGCGACTGGTGGGACAGGCCAGGCTGGCCGACTGCAGTCTGTGACTGCAACGTGGGTGGCTTGAGCCTCCGCCCCTCAACTGCACGATGCAGTAGGTTAGCCCTCCTTCATAGAGGTGCTCAAGGACCAAATGAGGCCGTATAAACACCCTGCTTAGCAGAGAACAAGCGTCCTTTAGGTTCTATAAGCTCCAGACCTTCTAGCAACCTGGAAGGAAGTGTTGGCTTGTGCTTTCTCATGCACTTAGAGGCTGCAGGGCTGAGTTTGCCCTCTACTTCTGTCACGGCCTAACCGCATGGCCCCGGGGAAGTGACTCTGTCATTGCACAGTAAGAACCACCTTGTTCTGGCCCTGGCAAGCTGCTCTCAGTGCAGACCTGCTGCACCCAGGCAGCCGTACTAGAGTGGACAAGTGTGGACGAAGCTGACCCTCTGAATCACACTGACCTTGTGCTGCCCAGGCCGAACTCTCCTCCTGGGAGCCCCTGGGGCCACCTGGGGCCACTCTTTGGATCTCTGGGTCTATCACAGAGGGGGTTTCAGGGCCTCCATCTTTGGGGCCACATGTAGGGAAAGAGTCTTCCACAAGCTCTGAAAATGCGCTAGGAAGATGAGGAAGAAACCACCAATCAGAAGAAGAATCAGATGCACATTTCAAAGTCGGCCTTGCACCTGGGGGTTTCCAAGCCTGGCTGCACATGGGCACATACGCTGTCCTGACACAGGGCCCTCTGCTCCCTCAATGCCCCCTCGTGGTCCCCAGGCTCTAGCTTGAGCAGTAGAAGGCTGCACCTAAGTCGTCCACCAGTCTGGCCTTGGCCATCAGATTGATTTCCATTACAGGATGAGGCAGGTAAGTGCCCATCTTCACTCACACCCTCCCACTAGATAAAGATATGTGATATTCTAGTTTTAGATATTTTCGATAGAAATATTCTGGTTTTGCACAGAATGCCAGGTTTCTAAGAGGCCAAACAAAGAGTGGACTGAGTGAACTTGCAGCAGAATGCCAGGATAGGAAGAGGGTCCAGGAGGGAGCTGGCAGAGAAGGAAATGAAGGTAGAGGCCCACACTCTCCAAACCCCGGGGGTAGACATTTTCAAACCACAGCCAGACTCTCAGAGATGAGTAAAATGGTCTTTTGGTTTCCTGCCTGAATGTCTCCTAGATGTTTCTAACTTAATGTATTTTTAGAAATAAGAAGAAAAGGGGAGCATCTTACCTCACATAAACTATCAGGAGTACCTTTTAGCTGTTTAATGACCAAATGGCCTAGGAGGTGGTGCTTTCCTCCAAGAGCTCTGGGCTGGAAGAAGAACAATGAAGATGCCTGGACACACAACATACCTGGAGCACCATAGTCCAGCCATGGGTGAGCTCTGGATCCCCTCAGGTACCAAATCAGAGGTCAGAACTTTACTTTCTTCTTGAAAACATTCTAAAGGTTTAGCCAGCATTCTAAGAAAGATAGCAGCTAACCTTCCCAGGCCTTGTAGCAAATCAGAATGATCCATTATTATCTTTTTCTAAAGTTTCTCCAGTGTCATCCCTGTAACCGCACAGAATACAACAAATGTAGAATTAGCAACACAACGTTTGAGGAATTCAGGACGAAGAATTTAATTGTTTTTTAAAGGTGGAAAATAAGAAGTAAGCAAAGTATACGGTTATGACTCAAAATGCACATCCACTGGTAACCTGGCTTCAGAAGGGCAGGACAAGCCTTGCCTCGCGGCTTCCGGATGGTCCCATCTTAGCTTTCGCTCCTTCTTGCTCCAGAGGTGTCCCTGTGCCTCCGTGTCACAGCGCTTTGCTTACTGAACCAGCCTTCCATCCCCATGGGCCTACGAGCTCCTACGGACCAGCCATGCCCCTGCGTCCAGCTCTGGCCTGGCAAACAAGGGGTCTGAAGAAGCTGGTGTGGCTAAAGGGGGTGTGAGAGGAGGGGGCAGAGGTGTGAGGGGCAGAGAAGAGAATAGGACGCTCTGGGGACAGCCGCGGGCCTTACGACCTACAGATCGTTCAAGAACGTGCGCAGTGTTACAGGTCAGGTGTCTGTGGCTATTTCACCCCACTGTGACACCACCACTGTGAAGGGCAGATGGACGCCCACCTGAGCACCCGGCATGCTGGCTGTGGAGAGGCCTCCCCAGTACAGGCCTTCCAGCATCGTGGTCAGGCTCCAGTCCCACCAGCCATCCAAGCTTCTCGGGCCACTGAAGGAGTGCCTGGCACTTCTTAGAGCGAGAACAGAAACAAAGAATTATTTTTCTAACATAAAGTTGTGGGTATCCCTCACTTTTCACAAGTTCACTTTATGCCACCTCACTTTTAAGAAAGACGTACCTTCGTACCTGTGTTTGCTAACTGAAAGACATTCAAAGAGGAATTTTACTTTCACAAGAAAAGGTGAAACACAAAAACAGCATTCAGGCTTGGTACGTAGCAGTCATTATGGACGCGGCGCGGACTCCAGGCAGGGAAAGGGGCACCTCTGAGCTGCTTCCTGGGAAACGTGCTCAGCATCTCAGCATCAAGCTGCCATGGCTGTGAACCGTCTATGGTTTATTCTCTATTTATTTTGTGCATCTGTTAGCAAGGCTTGTCCTAAGGTAATTGCTTCTTCACTTCACAGTATTTCAGCTTAACAAAGGCTTTCATAGGAACGTTCTACTCTCAGGACAGCAGGGGTCACCTGTACTCGGCAGGAATGAAACCAAAGCCATCTGCAGTGGGGAGTGCCCCCTAGCGGCAGGTGAGGAGACAGAATAGTGGAGAAAGCACTCATTCACGTGCTCACTCATTCACTCCACAAACGTTACAGCGCCACAACCATGTGCAGGGCACTCTTCTGGGCACGGGAAACAACAGCAAATAAAATAAATCAGCAAAACAGATATTGTGTTAGTGATAAAGGTTAAGGAGAGAAAACTAAGCAAGCTAGACAGGCAGGAAGTGGGGGGGCGGGGACAGGTGGAAATTTTTCTCTAAGTGGCCACAGAACACTTCAATACAAGGTGACGGTTCAGCAAAGCCCTGAGGGCAATGAGGGGTCAGCCACATGGCGGCTGCGCAAGGGCGTTCCAGGCGGAGAAGGGGAGGCAAAGCCCTGGATGGGTGTGTGCCTGGGAGGTTAAGGGATGGTGTGAAAGCCAGTGTGGCTGGTGCAGAGCATGCGTTGGGAGAGGAACAGAAGAGGGAGGCTGGGACCATGGGTAGAGATGCCATCCTTCCTCTGTGTTACTGCCTCCTGGGCCTGGCACTTAGCCTTTCCACAAAGACAAAAAAGCCAAAACAACAGCAAACCCTTGCTTCCCAGGATGGCTGTGAGCGTTAGATGAAAAAGCACAGACCAAGTGCTGTATTGGCACACAGTAGGGAGCCAACAAATGTTAGTGTGTTTTCTTTCCATCAACTTATTACACTTCTTAGGTATCTGTTTCACTCACCAACAAGGAACTGATTTAAGGGAGCAATGAAATCATTTCAAACTGTCAAAACTGATCATCGTTAGCTCACTCAGACAACGCAATAAAGCTGCATGCAGGGGCCAGAGCCGCTCACAGCAGCATCAGGGGCAGACATTTGACCCTGAGTTGCAGCCAAAGGGAAAGGAAAAAGTTAAATTTCCTCAGAGAGAAAAAAGTACTTCTCGCCTGGCTCTTAAAATCTTTCCTACGTGCGGCTTTGCAATAAGGGGCACTAAGTAAAGTCAGAGGTGACGAACTCAGAACATCCCCACAGCAAACAGAGATGGGTCTGATGTGGCTGCTTCACCCAGATCTCTCTCCGTGAACAGGGGGACCAAAATACGCTTCCTTTTCCTTACAGAGAGGCTACCTCCCATCTCTTCCTGGCCTTGATCTTTCATTTGTTTATACATTTTAAGAGTCTAATCTCTGCAGGCCCTTCATCGGGTGCTGGGTATCACTTCTCTATACTGATTGCAACCTTGGTCAAACCATGTCAAACGCAGGGTGAGCTGGGGACCTGCAGGAACATTAGAGGCGGGGTCAGGAAAGTGAGGCACTCGGGAAGAAGACAGCTGGGGCAGGGTGGAGGGGCTGATGAAGAGCGAAGGAAGCAGACACAGTCATGTGAGCATGCACAAATGCAGTCAGGGAAAGGCTAAGAAGGGAAGAAACAGAGAGGCAAAGAGAGTGGGAGGGAAAGAGGAGAGAGGGGAGAGGGGAGATGCTGGCCAGTTCTCTACACAGTCCTAATGAGCTGCTCTGGAGTATTTGACAGACCAACTGTACATTTATAGATTATATGCTCCATATTCTGCATTAAAAATTAGAGAGATATAGACCTTTAAAGTCTTTAAAGCCACGTTGGGTTTGCACAGCTTGGGGGAAATATTACTACTTTCTGACACTTCTTCCCTATTGGGGTGACATTAAGGAAAAGTAAAGAAAGACGTGAATGTGACCCAGACATAAACGTCCCACACCCAGACTGTACACATCTCATGCCTCCTTCTTGATGCGCTCGGAGAGCAGGAAGTGAACCGAACAATCCAAGAACGTTCCCACTCTGTATTAATTGGAGCAATTATATAGGACAGACCTCCAAAGCTAGCTAAACAGCACAAAGGATAAAATCAGCCATTATTTTCCACTTACGGCACGTGGGTAGAGTGACTATTTTGTGTATCAGTGGTGATTTTTGTTTTACTTGGAATTCCATGGAAAACTTATTGAGTTCATAAAGACTTTAAATAAAACTCAAATATGATGGAATCCAGTAACATGATAATTTTTTGTTGAGACACAACAAATCAAGCAGGCCAACTGCCTCACCTTACAGATGAAGATACTAAGGTCCAGAGTCAAAGGACTTGCCCAAGGTCACCTGGTGACCCAACGAGAGCTAGAAACCCGGCTCCTGAATGCAACTTAATCCATTTCCCTACTGCGCTTTAGCTCTTCGCCCTGGGATGCTAACAAACGCTAAGCTTTGGTAAGGAGCCGTGGGTGTGTCAGGATCTGACAGTGGAACATTCTGTTACAGTATATCCTATGATATCCTGTCATAGATATCCCTGCCTGGGGGACAGAGTGTCCAGAGAGAGCGAGTTTTTGCATCCTTGTAGGAACCACTGATCTATGCAAACCAACCGGGCCAGCGTGTGAGCCAGTAACCCAAGGACATCAACTGCTCTGTACACGAGACAACACACAAATATTATCTCAGCTGTGATATTTCTGATTTATCAAGAGGCAAGAATTCATATAAGAAATATGTCAAGTAATGCTGCCATGAAATGTGAGGTAAAAAGTAAACTAGCAAAGCCAGAAATTTCTCAGGGGTGGAGTTCCATTTCCAGAGAGAACCACCCCAATGGTTACTTTGTTTTGTACACAGCGCCACCTGCCGGCACAAACTGTGAGCCTGCACAGGTAGGAGAGCTGAAAAGTGGGTCGTGAATGGAAATAACTGCTGGTTTTGCAAATAGGGAGACAGAGAATGCCGCTTCGTTTCACTTCTAGAATGTTTGCCAGTAACAAGCTGGATTAATGAGTTATGGAGAGTCCAGACTCATGAACTGAGACACCCAGGTCCTACTTGCTGGTGGGTCCTAAATCTACCTTCACTCTCCATTATCTGGGTAGGCATCAATTACCCTCTCTCCTGTGGAAGATAAAAATAAATACGTCTTTAAATAATCGATAATATTAAATAGGTTTGCCAGCCACTGACCCCTCCCAAAAATAATTCAACAAAAATAATTTACATCATAATAAATTACTTAGCCAAAGGCAATGCATTCACAGAAAAGCTGCACGAATGTGGTTTTAAATATTCTCCAGAGAAAGTAAAACTTGGAAGACATCATTTGATTTTCTGCCACTGAAAACGTAGTAGAGAATCAATATGAATTCGTATCACGCACTTCAGAATTCAAAGCCAAATTGCTTAAAAGAACTTTCAAATGAATACTTTAGGCAGGTGAACATAAAGTCTGAGCACTGATTTAATAACAACTCTCAGTAAAAAGGAACACCAAGTTAAATGTACACATTGATTATAACTTGCATCCCAATTTCAGAAACTTTGAAACGTGGAGAAGGAATAGGAACAACAAACGCTGTCAGTGGCTGCCTTGGGTGGTACATTATGGAAATTTTTCTGCTTCCTATTTTTCAGTTCTTCCATGTTTACCTAGGAAGAACATTAGTACTTCTAAAAGTAAGAAGAAACAAATGAACATTAGAGAAAATACACTAGGGGGTATTACATTGGAAACTGGGCGTCATTGATTGTGGACTGCAACAATGTCCTTTCACTGAACAGCTCAGATGTCTTCAGCAAAAAAATAAATGGTCATACTCTGGTTTTGGTGCAGTTTCTCACCTGCCAGACTTTAAAGTGCCTTGAAATATCATTGTCTCCCTATTTATTAAAACAAGGTGCTACGGACACACCTAAGGACTGCAAATGCAGGCCTCCCATCAACAGTGGGGAAAATCATGCCCCCAAGTCAATTTCAAACCCTCTCCATATTTCATATGTGGGAAGAGTTTTCTCCAGGCCTCAGTCTTGCAAAAAGGCCCCTCCCTCACCTGGCCTTTAAAAATGCTTCGATAAAACCGCTCAGGGAGTTCAGGGTTTAGGGGGGCATGAGCCACCTGTTCTCCTGGCTCAGCCTTGCAATAAACCTTTCCCTGCTCTGAACTCCCACGTTTCCGTTTGTTTGGCCTCACTATCTATCAGGCACATGAAACTTGCACTCGGTAAAATCATCAGCCAACAGATTACCTTTTCCTTTCAAATATGTGAGCTTTTAATTGATTTTTCTTGCCTATTGCACTGGCAGGAGCTTCCAATATGATGTTCAGTAGGAGTGGTGAGAGAGGATCTCCTTGCTTTGTTTCTGATCTTAAAAAGCACTCTGGACCAGTCCCTCCCATCAGGAAGCTTGCACAAGCCTCTTAGATAGCCTCTTCCACCAGAGGGCAGACAGCGGAAGCGAGAAGAACTATAATCCTGCAGCCTGTAGAACAAAAACCACATTCACAGAAAGACAGACAAGATGAAAAGGCAGAGGGCTATGTACCAGATGAAGGAACAAGATAACACCCCAGAAAAACAACTAAATGAAGTGGAGATAGGCAAAATTTCTTCCAGAAAAAGAATTCAGAGTAATGATAGTGAAGATGATCCAGGACATTGAAAAAAGAATGGAGGCAAAGATCGAGAAGATGCAAGAAATGTTTAACAAAGATCTAGAAGAATAAAGAACAAACAAACAGGTGA